CTGGAACTTCACGCAGGTCCTGCTCTGCCCTGAGGTTGTCAGTCAAAGCTGGAGAGGTCCGGGCTTGCTGACACACAGTTGGAGGGTTTGTCAACATTCATTAGAGCACTTCCAAAAGGAAGTTAATAAGACAATAAGAAAATGCAAAGCCATGGTGCACAAGGAACTATCAAAGAAACTATGATGTTTGTGGTCAAAAAATGGATGATTTGGGGAAGACAGCGAGCTTAGGAAGCGAAAGAATAAGGTGGAAACCAAACAAGAGTTTTCCCACTCATCACTTCAAGGTAGCTGACCAGGGCTCCTGGGACAGGGTGTTGAAATGAAACTATGTGAGTTTCCATTTTGGCTGAGGCTGCAACACAAGAGATAGCCCACACCAGGGTGAAGTGTGCAGTTCTTGCAGAAAGAGATGGCGGAAAGCCAGTTTTACATCTATAGATGACCACCCATATCTATCCTACAAAAGAAATTGTGGAGGCTGAGAAACAGGTTGAATAGAAGATGAATTAGGAGAGAACTGTCCGGTATGTTCCCAAGGGCTTTAGTGTGGCTATGTGAGTAGCTTGCTGTCTGTCCCTGGCACTTGGAAGACACGCTGGATTATTGTTTGATTCCCAAGAGAAGTCTAGAAGCCTGGCTGCTCCAACGGCAGAGCCAAGGAGAGGTGCCTGTGGGATCGGCCTGCGTGCCCACAGTTTGTTTGGGTAAAGAATGCGTGCATGTGCCTGGGGGACCGGGTGCAGACCTCCAGAAGAGAGATCTGAAGTGAGATCTTAGATCCTTTCCACAGGATGGTCTGGAGGCACAAGGGGGCCTCAGCAGAAAGGTGTGCAGGCACCTTGAGGCTGTGGAAGGAACTGTAAGTAAGCAGCCAGAGGGCACTTACACTTGCCCATGTCAAGGACTGTGCAAATGAGAGATGGTGGAATCACCGAAAGATCCCTGTAAGAGCCCACAGGTGAAGAGTCGGCTTTAAACACCTGCCAGAACCGGGGAGCATGGTGCCAATATACAGGACGACTAGTCAAGTAAAAACTCCCCTACCTTTTGCCTCTCCTCTTTACTCCACTCAGAGCATGAAGGATTCAAAATCATTGTTAGCGAGATACGAGAGGGGGCAAAAACACAAGACGGGATGCGGTGGAGGGAAGCCAAACATACCCTCCTTTATTTTTTTATTTTTATTTTTTTTAGACAATCATATTATCTGCAAATGGAGAAAGTGATTTTATTTTTCTGTTTTTTTTTTAAATTTGACCTTTATTGTATTTTTTACATTATCTTTTGTCCCTTTTCACTCCCGTCCCCCCAGCAATCATCGTGTTGTCCATGTCCGTGAGTCCTTTCTCCTTTTTGCTCAGTTTCTCCACCCCAACACCCCCCTACACACACATTAGCTGTCATCCTGCTCTCCATGTATGAGTCCCCATTTTCTTTTTTTAAAAATTAATTAATTTATTTTTCCAAATACATCTGTCTCTGCCTTCCCCCCACCACTTTCCCCCGCCCCCCTCCTCCTTCTCCCTCCCTCAGCTCTTCCCCTTTGGTTTTGTCCATGAGACCTTGCTCTATGTTCCTTGACTTGCCCCTTCCCTTCCTTTTCCCCCACCCACCCCTCCCTCCTTCCCTCTTGTCTCTGTTGGTTTCTTTTTCTTTCAGTGTTGCTGGTCTTATAGGAAAATAAGACCATACCCTCCTTCACTGTGGCACGCAACTGGCCAAGGCAGACCTGCGCTGGGGATGGGGAGTAGTCACAGCTTTGAGTGAAATTTGAAGTTTGGTTATCACACTGACCTGGACATACGCATTATTGACTAGAGAATGTTTTGTTCCCTGCAGGGAACCATAAAAGTCACACCATTTTTCCAAAACTTATCCATGGACAGGGAAGAAGTGGTCCCACAGGACACACTGAAAGGAGAATGCGAGGCACGGATTATGTGGCTTTAAGATTATGTCCCATGAGTCATTGGTTGTTCAATGAAACAATGATTCAAGAGTTTGAGGGGTGGAATCAGACAATTCTGCTACTCTCATTGCAACATTCACTAGAAGATACATTAGCTTTAGGATACGTTTCTGAGTTAACTAAATTTTACAGGAGAGACCAGATTCATACTGTCAGAACTAGAAGAAACATTAGCCATGAGCAACTGCACCCCCTCATTTAGGAAGCTGAGAGATAAGAAGCCTTTTCCTAACTCATATTGTACATATAAAGACATTAAGAAAAAGAGGGAATACACAGCATCTGCTCACAAAGACCATATTTAGTTTGGTACCTCTGTCAAGGCCAAATTTCTTCCTGTTTCCCTGAGAGATTCAAGTAAAACTGTAGACAAGGTTCTTGACAGTATCTGATAAAATCTATGCTAAGAATCTAAGTTGACCCAAAATAGCCAAATCAATATTGATTAAAATGAAGAACAAAATTGGAGGTATCAAGTGACCTAATATCAAACTATACTACAGGGCTATAGTAATTGAAACAGCATTGTGCTAGAATTAATACTGACCTATAGATCAATGGAACAGAATAGAAAGTCTAGAAACAAACCTAAGCCATTATGTTCAATTAATCTATGACAAAGAAGGCAAGAGTATACAGTGGGGTAAGGACAATCTCTTCAATAAATGGCATTGGGAAAACTGGACAGATACATGAAAAAAATTGAAACTAGACCACTTTCATAAACCGTGTACAAAAATAAACTCAAAGTGGATTAAATACTTAAATGTAAGACCTGAAACAATATAACTACTAGAAGAAAACAGACAGTACACTCTTCGACATCGCCACTAGCAATATTTTTTTTTTGATATGTCTCCTGAGGCAAGGGAAACAAAAAACAAAAATAAACAAATGAGACTACATCAAACTAGAAGTTTTTGCACATCAAAGGAAACCACCCACAAAACAAAAGGACAACATATTGAATGGGAGAAAATATTCGCCAATGATAAATCTAATAGGAGTAAATATCCAAAATTCATAAGAAGCTCATATGACTTAACCCTTCCCCAACCCCAAAATCCAATTAAGAAATGGGCAGAAGACCTGAATAGACGTTTCTCCAAAGAGAACTTACAGATGGCCAATGAACACATGAAAAGATCCTCAACATCACTAAGTGGCAGGGAAATGCAAATTAAAACTTCAACGAGATTTCACCTCACACCTGCCAGCGTGGCTATTTTCAATAAACCAACAAGTGCTGGCATGGATGTGGAAAAATGGGAACTCGTGTGCAGTGTTGGTGGGAATGCAGACTGGTGCAGCCAGTCTGCATTTCTATGCTGTAAAAAAACAGCATAGAAATTCCTCAAAAATTAAAAAGAGAACTACCATATGATCCAGCAATTCCACTTCTGGACATGTATCTGAAAACATCCACAACATCGATTCAAAAAGATATATGCTCCCCTATGTTCATTGTAGCATTATTTGTAGTGGCCAAGATACGGAAGCAACCTAAGTGTCCATTAATAGATAAATAAATAAAGATGTGGTGCATATATGCGATGGAATATTATTCAGCCATAAAAAAAGAATGGACTTTGGCCATTTGTGACAACACAGATGGACCTAGAGGGTATTATGCTAAGTGAAATACATCTGACAGAGAAGGACAAATGCCATATAATTTCGCTTGTCTGTGAAATCTAAAAAACAAAATAAATGAACAAACAAAACAGGAACAAACTCATAGTTACAGAGAATATATTGATGGTCACCAGATGAGAGGAGTTTTGGGGGGATAAGTAAAAAAAGGTGAAAGGGATTGAAAAGTACAAATTGCAAGTTATCAGATCAGTCACTGGGATGTAAAGTACAGCACAGGGAATATAGTCAATTACACTGTAGTAACTATGCACGGTGTCAGATGGGTACTAGACTTAGCAGGATGATCATTTCATAAGGCACGTAAATATTTAATCACTATGTTGTACATCTGAAAACAATATAATATTGTATGTCTACTAAAATTGAAAATTAACTCAAAACAACAGAATACCTACAGATGCATTTCATTATTCATAATTGTCACTCAATACCACAAAAACTTCCCTAAGCTCATGTATTTGTCTTATCCCAAGAGCGGGGTCTCGGAACAGGAATGGGTTCCACCAGTGTTTGCAGAATAGCCTAATGACTAGATTCCAGTTTCACTGTCTAAATGTTCTTTATTTATCAACACACTGCTTCTGAAGAAAGAAAATGGGCAACTTTTCTGTCCACCCTGGGGAAACTGGAGTCATATTTAATTCTTTGCAAATCCGTAACTCAGGTTGCTAAGTGGAGAAGGGGTACTTCCTGTCAGCCTCTAGCCCCTTGGGCAGAAACCTCATGGCAAGCGTGTCCACGTGGCCTTGGTGGCCTTCCCACTGGCCACTCTCCCGTGCTGAGCTGTGCTGGGGCTGGTGGAAGCAAAGGCACTCAGTCCCTGGATCCCTTTCCATACTGCGATGAGAAAGAGACACTAACTCTCACTGGAAGACATATGTGATTTATGGGCAAATTCCTGCAGTAAAAGACACTGGTACCCCCTTTACCGACATGGGTAGGCATCTGACGTTCACAGGCAGGACCAATGTAATCCATTCTAAGCCCTAGTTTTTTCAGGATTTCTTAGTTCCTTAGTCTTTCCACTTCTCAACAATGGTGAGTAAATGCCCACGAGTCTTAATCAGAGGAGTGAAGGAATTCACTCATTATGTGCAATGTGGTCTCCTCTAAATTCTAGTAACATCGGCCTAAAAGCTATAATGGAGTGACCTCTTCCCGCTGCAGCCTGGGTGGGGACCCTCTAGGTATCCTTCGTCTTAGATGTCCCTCACGATTCCCACGGCTTCCAGAGAGGCAACCCGTGGACCCCCAGCAGGACGGCTCGGAGAAGGGGCGGCTTGCTCAGCAGCAGCCTGACCTGCCGCCGCCAGAGGGCAGGTACACCAAGGGCCACCTGCAGGCAAGGGGAACACAGGGGGACAAAGCCTACCTGACTCCATCCTGCCTTCCGGGTTCTCCTGGGCTTCCTCGGAGGCACTGGAGCCCCTGGGGAAGGGTTGGTGGCTGAAGAGGTCATCGCACAGGAGGCTGCGGCACAGCTTGGCGAGGAAGCGGAGGACGTACCCGATGCTGTTCACCACAGGCACGCTCCGCAGGTGCTGTTTCCCATCGAAGGACGCCGAGACTGGAAAACCACAGAGACAGGGACTCAGAGGGGAGCATGGTCCGTCCGCCCTGGGGAAGAGGTTTTTGTTTGCTCAGTTTGTTTGGTTGTTTAACTAGACTCTATTTGGATTTCACCTGTTTTGTCACGAATGCCCCATTTCTGATTTGGGATCTCATCCAGGGGACCCCAGCGGGTGAAATTGTCATGGCTCCTTAGTCTCCTCCAGCTTGACTGTTTCTCAGTTTTTCCTCGTTTATCCTGACCTTGGCAGTTTTTCAGAATGCTGATCAAGTATTTTTGTAAAATGCCCCTTAATTTGGGCTTGTCTGATGTTTTTCTCATTATTTGACTGGGATGGGAAGTTTTGGAGGAGGAAGACCACGGAGGGGAAGTGCTTTCCTCCCTGCATCAGATCAGGGACACACGAAACCTACATGACGTCCCTGGGGTGTTACCTTCTCCTGGCCAAGACCGTGTTTGCCACACTGCCCCACTATACTCTCCGTTTTCTCATTGCCATACGGGGAGGCCACAAGGCCCTGCCCACACTCAAGGGCGGAGGGACTAAGCTCTACCTTCTGGGGAGGTGAGAGTCTCTGTATCATTTGAAATTCTTCCAGCAGGAAGAGCTGTCTCTTCTCCTCTATTTATTTGTTTATTTATTAAATCATTGATGAATATCTGTATAGACTGAGTATATTTACTTTGTACTGTGGTTATCCAATACTATGTTACTTATTTTCTTGCTGAAATTGTTCAAGTTTTTTTCTTTGAGAGCTTTCAGGTTGACTCCTATGGCCCTATGACATGCTCCTCCCCCACTTTTTAGCAACTCTTTGGTTACTGACACTTCAATATGTTCCAAGTTCATCTTGTATTTTCCCTGTCTGAGCCCTAAACTCAGCCAGTTCTCCAGCAGCTCTGGTTCTGTTTATTGAAGAGTGACATTTAGAGACCAAGATTTAGGCACCGGATGTGCTCATTGCTACTGAGATGTCAGTAGTTCTGGGGCTTTTCTGAAGGGAGCTAAGAAATGTATGATACATACTATTCCATTATAATTATTTCTCTATCTACATATAGCTAAGGATAGATAGATATATAAATAATAGGTAGCTAGATAGATAGATAGCTCAGATAGATAGATCTAGATTTATAGATATATTTTAAAAACCTGAGTTTGTACTGAAGTCTCTAACTCAGCCTCACAAAGTTCAGGGTTCGTTCTAGCACTCTGGAGAAGAATCTTTATAAAAGAACAATAATCTCCACATAGTAATGCTAGATTAAACTTGATTTCTATCGAGTTACCAAAATTTAGAAGAAACACAGGTGTCTTCCAGCCCAGAGCAGTTCCCTTTCTGTAACTCTCCTCGCAACTCTCTCTCTCTCCCCGAGAAGCTTGCATGCCAACCCCAGTGTGAGGAACATAGGAGGTCCCCAACAGGGCATTCTGCTCCCACCTGGGCCTCCGCCGCTCAGCGTAGGCACCTGGAGCGCAGCCTGGTTTCTTCCCCCAGAGGCTGGCAGAGGGCAAGGGGGGAGAGGGCAGAGGTGATCAGAGCTGGTTTTTATTTCAAAACAAAAACAAAGGGAAAAAAATACTCATTTTGATTGGAAATCAAAATAACTGATTTCTTTTGTGTAACTCTTTATAGTTTGACAAGAGGTTTTATATCCATCACGTCCCTTAGGCCTCCTGACTGTCCTGTGAGGAGAGTGGGGGAAAGTTTACCCCACATTACAGATGAGGAAACTACAGAGAGGGCCTGGTTTCCCCAGTTCACATGTCCTCTACGTGGACTTGCTTGTCATTTTAATAACTCCAGGAGACGCTGATAGGAGAGACAGCCCAAGAGCTCCCAAGACGCTTACCAAAGGTGCCATCCTGGCAACTCAGATGCTCTAGAAGTTCCTTCTTAGCGTGGGTACTGTTTCTAGCCTCCAATACCTTAAACAACTGGGCGTGCTGGAAACTGAACCCACAGCAGGAGGGTCTGGGCATCAGGTCTGCCCCATAAATCAGCATGCTTACGTTCCTGGAGGTGCCTGGGAGATCCCGCACGGGAGAAAATTCTGCCTCCTGGAGGAGGGCATGGGACTTATGAAATCAGAAAGTCTACCCCCATGGGAGAGGGCGGCTAAGGTGTGCCAGGAATCGGTGAGGGGCGCTGCAAGGCTGCTCTCCGACGCCCTGGGGGCGGCCCAAGACCCAGCCGTGGCAGCTCGGTTCCTTTAGCCCGTTGTGCCGGCCCTGGTGTCGCCATTCTTCATGTATTCCCCTGCCATGGGAATATTCAGAAAGCAGTGCCCCAAGGGTCTTGTTCTAGGTGGAGAATGGGAGAGTCTGGCTACTGCTCCTTTAGTCCTTCCCTAAACCACCTCGGAATCCCCTCAGCGCTACTGCATCCTCTAAGACACTAAGACCAAGTGCTCAGCGCAGGGCTTCCTGGGGATCCTTCAGCCAAGGGAAACTTGGCAAGGCTCAGCCCACGCTCGCGCTGGTGCCAGGCCCTGCAGAAGCTCCTCCCCTGAGGCCAGATGAAGGCTGAGCAGGAAAGCAGGGGAAACGGGGTCAGCCCTCTCAGCTTGGGGGGCAGGGGCTGTAACGAATCAGTCAGGTGGGATTCATTTACAAGGGTGGGCACACGGTATGGGAGCGGCTTTCTCTTAGTACCAGGTCTGTGTGTTGAGCCCTGCTATTTAGCAAGAAAAAGGACAAGGTTTGGTCTCAGGTTGCAGCCCAGGGCTGAGAACCTGGCTCCCAGACAGAAACCAGGAGAACAGCCAAGGGCCTCCTGGAAGGCCTGACAACAGGTCTCCTCTCCTGGCCTCTCCTGGAACAGTGCTTCTATCTCTGCTCACACCTGCTGAAATGTCTTAGAGGTCACCCTGGATCAGACACATGCACCCAGACCTGGCCAAGTTCTATTTTCATCAATTACCAGCAAGTCGTACCCGACTTCCTGCTCAGAGGGAGCTCTAGAAGGTGGGCCAAATCAATCAGAGCTGCAGAAGCTGTGTTGGACACCCTTCCAGGCCCCGAGCCCTGGGGATCTGGAGTTAAATCAAATGCTCTGCTTTGGTTCTTCAGGACGTAGCCCCTTTAGAGACCTCTCTTCCCTGTTCTTAGCCAGCCAGCAGGGTCACCTGCACAGCCCCATTGCTGGGGAACCTCCTCCCCTTTCCTTGGTGATATGGAGGCTGTGTTCATGATGCTGAGCCAGAGAAGACACACAGCTGTCCCCTTGGAGTCAAGACATCTCCAGGGTTTAAGGGCGGGTGGTGACAACCACTGTGTAGAGCTCCTGATTCAGCCTCTCACTGTGGTGACAACTTCTACGCCCTCTGGAAGCTGTGGGGTTGGGGCTGACACTGGAGATGGGCAATGACAATGAGAGAAGCATTTGACTTTGAAGGCTCCTGTTTAAAAAACAAAAAAACAAAAACCAAAAAACCTGCCCTATGAGGTGGAGTTGAGACCAGGAGCTTCCCTACTTCCCTGCATGGTGATTAGCGCCATGAGAAAGGAATGGAGCAGAACGAAGGAGAATAGAGAGTGACGAGGGCTGATATTTTAGACAAGGCGGTCAGGAAAGGCCTCTTTGATAAGGATGCATTTAAGTAAAAACCTGAAGGAAGTCCAGGAGCAAGTCACATGGACAACCGGGAAGAACCTTCCAGAAAGAGAGAATGGCAGGAGCAAAGAAAGACCCTGGGGCACCAGCATGACTGCAGGACACAGGGCAAACAGCAAGGAGGAAGCTGGGGCCTGAGCAGGAGAGAGACTGGAGAGATGTGGCCAGGAGATCAAAGAGGCAGCCAGGGCCCAGGTCACGTGCGGCCTGCAGTCCCTTGCAAGGACATGGGCCTTTCCTCAGAGTGGCATGGGAGCCATCGAGGGTTTAGGGCAGAGGAAAGGCATGATCTGGGTTATTTTTTAAAGAACCAGAGTGGTTGCTGTGGGTGGCGAAAGGAGGTTGGATTCTGATATATTTTAAAATTAGGCAATAGAATTTCCTGATGGGTGAGAAGCGGGGGATGGGAGGAAGAGAGGAGTCAAGGGTAAGGTTTCAGATGTCCAGTCTTCTTGTCCACGTGTGGAAGCACCTTCTCCTTGGTCCCTGAGGGAGGCTCTCAGCACACACTCATGAAGAGGCCTGGAGCCCAACAGAGAGAGATCGGACCCTGGCCCCAACCACTGTCCCCCTAGCCTGAGAATGACTGCCGTCCTCTTCAGAGACGCCGTGGCGCTCCTCAGACACCTGCCCCAGGGCCTTACCCGAGACCACCTCGCCACCGTAGCCCTGCTTGACCAGGGAGAAGACCAGCTTCTGCTGGTGGGCACAGTCGATGCACGCCTGCACCGCCTGCTGCAGGACCGCCGACGGCCGCTCGGGCCCGAAGTGCTCGGGCAGCTGCTGCACCTTCCTCCTCTCCAGGTAGGGCCCTGCGTTGGCTTGCTTGTTGATGTAGAGGCAGACTGTGGAGACAGAGACCCACAGAGCCCAGTGTCAGTGCCCCTTTGGCCCTGGCCTCGGAAGGCTGAAAAGAGGCAAAAGTGGGACTGACTCTTCCTCCTTAATAAGTAAAGAGGCAAAGAGGCCAATCGTCCCCACCGCCGGGGGCATCAGGCAGTTCTCAAGATGGTCTCCCTGCTGGGGACAGGAAGGACAGGTGGGTCCCCTGTAGTGTACTAAAATCTGAAAGGTAGACAGTTATGGAGGCCTGCAACCACATGTATAAACACATTTCCATGCTGGGCAGGTACACATGCAAAATCTTCCCTGTTCTCCAAGGGCGCCATCAAGCTACACATAATGTTTGCCATTTTTTTGTTAACTTCTGATGAATAAAAACATCAAGATAATGTTGATTGCTCCAAAAAACATGCATTCAGCTTCTAAAGACAGTGCTATTTACAATGTCAGAGGAAATAAACACTCAGCCGCCTATTTAGATGAGCCCAATCAATGGTTTTCCACACTTCTAAAGCAATGTATCCCTACAGGAAGAAAAATTTTGAGCGCACACCCCAAAATGTGTTTATTTATGTATAGGTTATATACATTCTTGTTTGTATTGATGTATCATGTACATTTTAAAACACAACCAAGAAAAAAGTTTCTTAAATTCTCACCCTAGGACATGCTTATTGATTTTAGAGGGAGGGAAAGGGAGTGGGGAGAGAGAGAGGAAAAAAAAATCAATGTGAGAGAGAAATAGCGATCAGTTGCCTTTTGCCTACACCCTGACTAGACCAAGCCTGCAGCCTAGGCATGTGCCTGATTGGGAATGGAACCCAATGCCCAACCAATTGAGCCACAGGAGCCAGGGCAAGAAAAAGAAATTTTTAAAGAATGAGATAAAAATATATATTAATTGTAAGTATCATATTTTCTTCTATACATTGACTTTCCCCTTCTGTCTCCCTTCCACCCCAAAGTATGAGCATCTTGCCTCAGAGGCCACCAATGCAAAGGAGTGTAGGGGAGGGACTTGAAGAGGAAACCAATAGGGTGATAAAATAGTAATAATAAAGATGAAGAAAATTCATTTTTATTAACTACCTATTATACTCCTATTATACTTTTTATATTTTATCTTGTTTCATTCTTAAGACAAGCTTAGGAATTAGGTATTATTCCTTCTTTACTAAGGAAGAAACTGAGGCTTCAAATGGCTGGATGGTCGTTTATAAAATCTGTAATTGTCGGTGCAGCAGGGATTTGGACTCAAACCCTTCTGATGCCAGGACCTATGCTCTTTTTAATCTACCAGGCTGCCTTCTCTTCTACTCATCAAAGATGAAGGGAGTATAATTAATAATAGACCTTCATGCCAGACACTGTGTTGGGCCTTACAGAGAAAAAGGTGAACCGATCTGACAAGGTCCCTGGCTCCACGGAGCTTAGGGCCCAGCGGGGGAGGCAGACTTGCTCAGGGAGTCCCAGGGACTGATGAGGGACCGTGGCCGGGGAAACACTGCCTGGTGCTAGGAGAGCCTTGGGAGAGGCCCTCAGCAAGCAGGCTCGTGAAGGGCCCTGGATCCTGACAGATGAAGGACAGACCCTGGCCACAGCCACTGTCCCCAGGCCTGAGAATGGCCACTGTCCTCTTCAGAGAGACTCCCTGAAAACCCTGGCAAGAAGCCGATGAAGGAGGCAGGTGTGCCTGAGCTGAGGATCAAGGGAGAAACTGGGTGGCCAGAGGGAAGGCCCTTCCAGACGGAGGGAAGAGACTATGATAAGGTGTATGGCGGGCCCTAGGGACTAAGGAGAGCAGTCGGCTGGGTCACAGAGGGAGGGAATTTACAGGGCTCTGTTGGCCATTCCAAGTTTGCTCTTTACCTAAGAACAACGGGAAGAGAATGAAGGAATTTAGGTGGGGCGGGGGAGGGCGGGGGGGCTGTGATGAGGAGGGACAGTGTGTGTGCATGTGCCTGCGTGAAAAATCCAATTGTTGTTATTTTTATGATGGAACTGTTGGTTGGAGGATGTCCCATGAGAGACACTGGGCTGCATGCTACCCTGACCGGATTGGAGGGTGCCAGGTGGGAGTAAGGGAGATTAGAGCCTTAAGAGACCTGAAAGTACAACCACAGGGATGGAAACTCTTCAAGGTGAGCAGGCTCTTTGTTGGTACAAAGAAAACCTGACTCTGGAAAGAAAAAACTGGGCCCCCAACTACTCTTTCCAGTCCTACCTAAAAGCAACCAGCTGAACTCAGGATGCAGTGAAAACCAAGGTTTAAAAAATCTAAACTGCGAGAGGCCTAAACTCCTGTTCTCAGAGAACCTGGTTATCCCAGCTGCCACTTAGGAAACACCCAAAATCCTTTATTCGCGCTGTCTTGGCGGCAGCTCTCTAATTCACAAAGTAACTTTCAGATGCCTGGCAGGCCCTCACGGCCTTGGCGTTCATTCGCCTGACCTACCTGTGAGAGCCTGTGGGACTGCCAGGCTGGGGATGGTGGCTGCGTCCTGAGGGATGGAGCTGAGGTCGGGCTCCGGCGTACTCCGCGGAGGAGAGAGGGCCAACGGAGTCATGAGCACCCGAGACTTGAGCTGCAAGAGAGAGCCCATTTGGTCAATGAAAATCTGGGAATGCTCGCTGCGCCCGACCAGAATATTTACTGGATGGCTACTCTAGCATGCTTCCACACCTTCCGACTGCGCAGCTTTGGGGGCTGAACTTCAGATTCAAGTCCATGTTCAAGAGGCATGTTTGGGGTTAACCTCAGAGGTCAGATTCACACCCCATGCTCACAGTGGAGCCACCCAAGAAATGACTGTGTCGGGGGCGGTGGGGGGTGGGGAGCACACAGAAGAACCAGCAGTCGGAGCCTGTCAGCGCTCTGAGTGCAGGAGGTGGGGTAGGGGGCGGTCTGCAGCATGAGCCCCCCACCCTCGTGCTCCCCGGAGCCCCGTGGACAGTGCTTCCCCGACAGCCTCCCAGAGACAGACCCTGCAGCTCACCTCCCTCTGCAGGGCTCTCGGCTAACAAAGCTCTCTGAATCCTTCTGGAAAAGAAAGCAGGAGCTACCATATTTTGCCGTGTATAAGATACAAACTTTCAGGGGGAAAGGACCTTCAATTTTAATTTTTGAATTCAGTTTATTTATTTATTTATATTTAGATACGTGTGTTTCGCATTATAAAGGAATTTTAGTATTTCTTTTTGAACATATTATGGCACAAGGAGCTTTTTGTAACAGATAATTGCAAACACAAGAACAGATACAAGGTATTTCAGGTACTACCTATGTGTAATGCACATCCTTATATTTCCCTAAAAAAAATTGGGCAGGAAGTGCGCATTATACTCGGCAAAAGACGGTGCGTGTCCACGGGGCTCATGCTGCTCAGGGTTTCCTTCCCCGCAGGGACTGTCAAGGGCAGCCTCCCCGGGGGCGGGCAGGACAGGACCCGAGTGCATTCTCTGCTAGCGAGAAGCAGCCACCTTGAAGGTCGCACGTGAAATCACCAACGCGGAGCTGAAGCGCGCTGTTACGGATTGAGAAGACGACCAGTTAATGATGTCAACGCCAACAAGCCACTCTCCATACCAAGGTTTGACAGACGCATTTCTAATCTTAGCTTTCCACTCCAGAATAGGTAAGTCCCTCACTTTGCCTCTTCTCCACTAACAATGGCGAACGGACTTAATTCTGTTGAACCGTATACACTTAGAAATGGTTATGATGGTAAATTTTACGCCTTGTGTTTTTTTCCACAATTTTAAATTTTTAGAAGTTTTTCTTTTGTTTTTTGTTTTTAAGACAGGAAACATGTTTACATGCTGATGGAAGTAATCCAACAGAGGGGAAATTCATGGTCCAGGGGAGAGCATGGGGACCTGCTGACATCAGCACTCTGAGTAGGTGAGAGGGCATGAGATTTTGTGAGCAAGGCGGCGGGGGGGGGCGGGTGCTATGGCCTCAGAGAGGATCATGGGCCCTTCATCCTATTGCAATAGGAAGAAAGGTGGAACGTAAAGGTCTGTGTCTGGGCTGGGTGGATGTGGTGGCAAGACCTTATAGGTCTCTTCCAATGGCTCCTGATTTCTCAGTGGTGCTGGAGGCTGGTTGTGAGGACAGGGCACCGTGTGTTAATGATGTAGGAGAGTGGGAGGAGGGGCTCTTATAAAAGACAATGTTAATCAGAAGCTACAAGTAACAACAGGGATTTCATCTTCTTCTGAGTTCAGAGTTTGAAATATGAAAGGACTTATCAGGTAGCAATACACAGCTAAAAATTAGAAAAATAATGTAAAAGAAACCTCAGTGGTAGAAGGAGTGGATCCAAAACATGCAATCAATCACCATGATTTTGGTGGAATTTGCTCACCTGCTGAGTGTGACAAGCGCTGTGCCATTCTGATGCTCTTCCAGGTCAGGCACCAAAGGGCCCCCTGCCAGTCTCCCTGGGACTGAAGTGCGGCTCTACACTACTTGTGATAGGGGACTGTGGGCGACGAACTCTGGAAGAGCCTTGGCCAAATCCTCCTGGATAGGCTTAAAGCCCTCTGACCCTCCAGCACACAGACAACAATGCTGGTGGCGGGGAGGAGGTTGACAAGTTGTCATTTTCCCCGCTGTGGCCTTTAGGTAAATCACAGCAATATCCTTATGGCCCATCTTCCCTAGAAAGATTGATGATGTGATGATGATGATGGCAGCTAAGACGTAGCAGCTAAACACCACTTACTGGTCATGTAAACTTCATATCAACCTTCACATTTAATTCTTCCTCACTATTTTAATATTTATTAGAGATTTGCCCATTGAACTTACCTCCAATGAAGTAACATAATTATAATTGGCTGTTACCTCTGCCCATCTGCTCGCCATTCCAGCCCAGGTGAAATAATTAAAGGGATTGGACTAATTCAACTGGTTGCAGAGAAAACCGTCTCTATTCATCCAACCTCTACAACAACTTCTGGGGCTTTTGAACAATGAAAAAAATCTCATGCAACTGTAGGTGGTATATGACTTTTTAGAGATATCCTTTTAGTAAGAGAATAAATCATAAGTAGGAATACCCTTTGACTTGGCATTCTAAAATTTCTATTTCATTGTTTAATATAACAAATCAAAAATAACCTAGCCTAGAAAAGGGAGTCACTCGTGATTTTAGAAAGGTCCTAAAGCAGATATGAGCCCACTGCCAGGAGTGTCCTTCGGTGGGACGCGGGCACCAGGCTGCCGGTGCCTCTTCCCTGCTTGGAATGGGGAGCTCCTGTGTGCCCCAACCCTCCCATGCTAGCTCTGGGAGGCATGTGTCTTTGTCATTTATTGGCTTTTAAAAACAAAAATTGTTTATTTGCTTTGTTTTTCTTTTAAATGGGCAAAATAAAACAAACTCTTCCTATCTTGATTTTTAATGCTATTATTTAATAGAAGGGACCAGGGCTTTTTGAAGAAATGGCTGATTCTAGGCTGGGGCAGGGAATATACAAGATAAGGCTGGAACACCTTGTTGTGCTAGAAAGTAAGAAAATGCTAAACAAACACACAACAATGATGGGGGGAGGTCATAGGGACACAGGAACTTCGAAGGCCAAATCTGGAGCAACATGAACAACAATTAAAGAATGTCGTAATGGACTATAATTCATAACATGCAATAAATATCCGTGACCCCAATCTCCTATGCGTAAAAAATCCAAATAATTTAATTATAGAGCATAACATCCCACTCCGTAAGTGTAAACTGCACATAGTAACTTCCCTCCAAAAAGGACAGCATGGGAATGGGGTAGACAAGTAACCTGACAGAGAGAAACCCATCGAACCTCACCTCAGCCAGGGGATCAAGGTCACTGTCCACAGTGATAAGCCATACCAATAGTACATACCCTTGATATGGTACGATGAGAATATTCTTCCCCAAAACTCATAATCCCAGTCTAATTATGAGAAAAACATCAGCCAATCTAAATCGCAGAACATTTTACGAAATAGTTGACCAGTACTCCTCAAACTGTCCACATCATCAAAGCCAAGGAAAGCCTAAGAAACTTTCATAGCCCAGAGGAGCCTAAGGAAACACAATGACTAAATGTGATGTGGTGTCCTGGAAGGATCCTGGAATAAAATAGGAAAGAACTAATGAATCTGAACAAAATATGGACGTTGTTTAATAATAATGTGTTATTAATGGTTCAGTAGTTGTGACAAATGTACCACGGTAATGTATGATGTTAACAACAGGAGATACTAGATGGGGTATATGAGAATTCTCTACCTTTGCAACTCTTCTGTAAATCTAAAATGATTCTAAAATACAGTTTGCTTTTAAAATATTAAACAAGGGGACCTGGCAGAATAAATTGGGTAAAACAGAGAGGAAGGAGGCAGCAGAGGCCTCTTTCCTGGCAGCATGCGACTGGAAGGAGGTTTGCTGCCCAGGACACCTTGCTCTGACATACAGGAGCTCATCCTTGGCCTGCGAAGCCAGCAGCCCTGTGCAGAAGCTGACAAAGTTGGCACCCTCACCCGCAGTTCAAAACCTCAATCAAACGGGTCTGCAACACCTCGCCCACAATATGGATACCAGCGGCTGTAGGGCTGCGCGGCTGCGCTCCCCCTGGCTGCAGGATCGTGGTGGGAAGAAGCAGAGGAGTGGAGTGGGTCCCTGCCTGCTGGCGCCTCCGCCAAAGGCCGCTGGGAGTCTGGGACCCGCTCATCTTGCTTTTCTGTTTACAGATTCAAAAAAAGGGCCTGGAGAGTTTCCTGCTCCAGCTGACTTTCAGGTGAAGACCTTCTCTAAGACATTTTCTAGAGAATCCCTGGAAAGAGTTGGGAGGGGATCTGGTTGCAAACTGGGATGTGTGGCCAGGAGACCCTAAAGGAGAAGAGGTCAGTTGATGTGAAATTCAAGTATTTATCTAGGAATATGCAGGTATGGCAGAAACAGAAGTACTAACAACAGTATTTGAGAAGTTGACAAGGAGTTGGTAATCAGAGGACAGGGACTGTGGTGGGGGGCGGGAAGACAGGCAGAGGCTGCCTGCACAGCAGCAGAGGATGAACCAACAAAGCAAAATTTAAAAAGAAGTTTGGGGTGGAAGTGGACACATGCAATGGAACGATAGCTTTGGGATCTGGGTTGAAGTCCAGCGCGGCACTTACCGACCCTGTCCTTGGTCTCGTTACTTTGGCTTTGGGAGCCTGCCTTTTCCTCATCTGTAAGGTAAGGGTAATAACAGTCCCTCACAGGGAGGTGGCAAGAATTAAATGTAAACATTACGCATAGGGATAATTAAACAAAATGAGAACTCAATAAATGTTTATTATCATTATTGCCTTTAGTATTATTGTTATTATTAGAAATTCCAGAGATGTAAATAAGTTTCAAGTTTCTTGTTTATGTCGTCATGGCAGGAGGGGGAAATTGCTTATCTTTCCTAGGGCCTGTCTGCTTTTTCTACACTTGTCACTTGGGATCACATCCTCACAAGTCTTTGCAAAGCCACCTTCTTCCCTCATGCCTTGCCGATGGCCCCCTCTGAGAAGCATGCTCTCCGTAGTTCCTAATTATTGCTTAAGCAGCAGCTGTCC